CTGTCGGTAACGCCATTGGCTCCGGTTGGGCCCTGTCGGTAACGCCATTGGCTCCGGTTGGGCCCTGTCGGTAACGCCATTGGCTCCGGTTGGGCCCTGTCGGTAACGCCATTGCCTCCTCAGCCTCGAAGGACTGGCACCACGGGGGCCGCGAGAACATCCTGCTCTGCACAGACTGCCGGCTGCACTTCAAGAAGTACGGGGAGCTGCCGCCCATCGAGAAGCCGGTCGACCCACCGCCGTTTATGTTCAAGCCCGTGAAGGAGGAGGAGGATGGGCCCGGCGGAAAGCACAGCATGAGGACGCGACGGAGCCGGGGCTCGGTATGCCGGGGGAGGGGGTCGCCACTAATCTGTTTCAAACAATTTCAAAATTCTGTGGTAATCTATTTTACTGTGGTATCGCCCAAGCCTAGACTAATAACTTTTAAACTGTCGATAAAAATTTAGATGTTTCACTATACTACTTATGTTTGTGGTTGTTCGCAATACATCTGCCCTCTCCTGGTCGGGTGGAGTATCGCTGCTGTATACGTGTACCGGCCTGACCGTCGGCATCCACAGCCAAATGTAATATGAACATAAGCCTGACTAATTTAGCTAAATTTAACAGGAGTGTCGTTAGTACAGTGGCCTGAAATTGGGACCTTTAGTGAAGGTGGAATGTTCTGTTGCTTCCTTTAGAAATGTTATTTTTCACTTTTGTTTAGATGTCAACTCTGAGAAGTGGTCGTAAGAAACAGACTTCCAGTCCCGATGGGAGAGCGTCACCCACAAACGAAGACCTGAGGTCCGGTGGCAGGACGTCCCCCAGTGCCGCCAGCACCTCAAGCACTGACAGCAAGACAGACTCCATGAAGAAGCCCATCAAGGTGCCGCGTCCCTCAGCTCTTAGCTGTCCCACCCTAGAACAAATTACCATCCATTCCAGTCCATCGGTGGCTGCATTGTGCTTTTTCCCGTTAACTGTCGCATCGTCTTGTATGTCGTGTTGGTATGTTTCCATTTGAGGACGTTGCGGAAGATAGTTACAGAACTTTGCACTGAATGGGTGGTTGTTGTCCACAGAAGATTAAAGAAGAGGCGTCTTCCCCAATGAAAAGTTCCAAACGGCAGCGAGAGAAAGGTGCTTCAGATACAGAGGAGACTGAGAGGGCAACAGCAAAGAAATCAAAGACTCAGGTGAGACGTCAAAAAACGTCAAAATAATTGTAATTCAAATTGTTGTCAATAAATCTATGAGGATTGTGGGATAACATTTTAATGAATGCTAACCTGGTGGGTCAGACCAAAACAATGGGGGGTGTTTCATGAAGCAGGATTTCTCAGTTATCCAGGTTAACTTAAGATAGAAGCCATGATTTTTCAGTAAGCGTTTAGGTAAGGAGCGTTCCTATTGGACAATCGTAAGTTGTAGCTTAAGTTAATCCTGCTAACTGAGAAGTCCTGCTTGGTGGAACACCCCCCCAGGATGAGAGTAGGAGGTTTTGTTCATGCCGCCTCCTTGTTCTCCTAGGAGTTAAGCCGTCCAGATTCCTTGTCGGAAGGCGAGGCCGAGGGTGAGGGTGAGAGCTCAGACAGCCGCAGCGTGAACGACGAGGGCAGCAGCGACCCCAAAGACATCGACCAGGACAATCGCAGCTCGTCGCCCAGCATCCCCTCCCCGCGGGACAACGAGAGCGACTCCGACTCCTCTGCCCAGCAGCAGCTTCTGCAGGCTCAGCACCCTCCTGTCATCCAGGCCCCGGCTGGATCCCTGCAGGCAGCCCCCGCGCAGGCCCAGCTCCTGCAGCTCCCCCCTGTTAATCCTTCCTCCCAGCCGGTTTTGACATCTAACCCCCAGACCTCCATGCCGCCTCAGCAACCCCAGGTAGCTCCGCACTCCCTGATCCAGGCCGGCCCCCCCCTGCGCCCACAGAGGCTGTCCTCCCCTGATTCGCCGCTGCAGGGCCTGTCTCAGGGCTCTTCCCTGTGTCAGCCAGGTCTACAGCCTATCCAGGCACCACTGCACAGCCAGCTGCAGTCCATGCCGCACCCACTGCAGCCTGGTCCCTCCCATTTGCCTCACCCACTGCCCCCCCAGTCCTTCCCCTTGTCCTCTCAGTCGCAGGTTCCTCCCCAGCTGCCCCCAGCCCTCCCCGGCCAGCCTCCCATCACAGGGCATTCTCAGCAGCTCTCTCCGCACATGCTGCATTCCCAGGCGCAGTGCTCCGCGCCGGGCCCAGCCCAGCCCCCCCGAGAGCAGCCGCTGCCGCCGACGCCCATGTCCATGCCTCACATCAAGCCTCCCCCAACCACTCCCATCCCGCAGATCTCCACCCCACAATCCCATAAGCACCCTCCAAACCTGTCTGCACCGCCTTTCCCGCAGATGCCCTCAAATCTCCCCCCGCCGCCAGCCCTCAAGCCCCTCAGCTCGCTGTCTACGCACCACCCGCCGTCAAGCCACCCACCGCCGCTGCAGCTCATGTCCCAGAGCCAGCAGCTGCAGCCCCCTGCTGCTCAACCCCCTGTGCTCACACAGTCCCAAAGTCTATCCTCCAGCAGCCTCCCCCCTCCCCCGGTTCCTCCTCTGCCTTCCTCAGCATCCTCCACCTACCCTATCCCCTCTCAGCCTACCTTCTCCACACACCCCTTCATCCCCGGTGGGCCGCCTTCCTCCGCTCCTCCCTCTTCCTCGGCTTCCATGCCCAGCCTGCAGCCCCCACCGTCGTCTTTGGCCACGCCTCTGTCGGGCAGCTCGTCTGCGGGGGCCCCTCCCGTGCAGATCAAGGAGGAACCGCTTGATGAGTCAGAAGAGCCCGATAGCCCACCGCCTCCACCACGGAGTCCCTCCCCCGAGCCCACCGTCGTCAACACGCCCAGCCACGCCAGTCAGTCAGCACGGTATGTACCGGCGACGCACCTGCCAGTGTTTAAGAAGTCCACCTTACTTCCCCACAGAAGAAGCAGTGAGATATTAAAGGAGCAGTTTACCCCAAAATCGTATAAGATATGTTTTAGAGGGGCTTTCGAGCTATATATCCATCAAGGTTATTCTACTGGGAGTTGCCTAGATACCAGCGCTCTTTAAAACGCATCTTTTTCAGTTTTGGAGTGAACTCCCCTATTTAAGCTTAAGCTGAAAAATGTGCAATGTGACATGTTTTTTCAGTTTACGTATCTGGAATAAATATCATTCAGTTCTTATCGCTGCTGATAAAGATCAATTTGATAAACTCCGTCGATAATTTGAAATTTAATTTTAAAACCGAACCTAATAATCAGAGCGAGTGCTTTTTTTGGCTGCACATTAGGACCCTGTCTGTTTGTCGACTTGACTTTAAATGCTTGCATAAGCATGGAAAAATCCTTCAGTAATCTGCTGTCTGGGAGCGGACTGAAAAAACAAATGATCTGATTGCTGATTCTTAGTGATGGATTAGTTACCTTATTACAGCAATTCTCCATCACGGTGCCCGTGTTTAGTCTCGCCTGTTATGCTGTTAATTCAAAGTCCTGTAAAGGCTGTTTATGGACACCAATGAGCCCATCCGAGCTGAAAGACCTGTCACACTGGCAGCCCTGCACACTTCCAGGATTTGCCTTTCAAACCCCCCCCCCCTGAAAAAATTAAAGAAAATCTGACTATCTTAAATCATAGAATATTCAGACACAAAGATTTTAGTTACTACTACATAAGAATTTTGTAAAATGCATCATCCATTTCGAGTGTGTGGTTAATGTGCTTTTCAGAAGCCTCATACTGTACTTTTTAAGCATAATATTCATCTTAATAAATAGGAAATTTCTCATGTAAACTTTGTTTTTTCTAACCCCAAGGTTCTACAAACACCTGGACAGAGGGTATAACTCCTGTGCCAGGACAGACTGCTACTTCACTCCCCTGGCTGCTTCCAAGCTGGCCAAGAAGAGGGAGGAGACGCTGGAGAAGGCCAAGCGAGAGGCAGAACAGAAAGCTCGAGAGGAAAAGGAGCGAGAGAAGGAGCGGGAGAAGGAAAAGGAGCGAGAGAGGGAACGGGAGCGCGAGCGGGAAGACAGAGTGGCGGTAAGACACGTTTACATACCAACTTAGGAGGTTTCTCTAGCTCATTGTGACGGAAGGATCAGCAGCGTTAATCGTTCCTGGAGTTGAAAGATGATGGAGATAAGATTCATGAAGTGTTACTTTTTAAGTGTTTAATAATGCGCGTCCTGATCAATGTGTCCCTGGGTCAACAAGGGAGGGGCTTGCATTTCACTGCTTTAACCAATCACAGTCTTCTTTGTATGACATCACCACATTAGTTAAAACCATTTTGGTTCTGTTAAGTGGCAAGGTGCACAGATTTTTAGGTACCTGTTTTGTTGTATATGCCTTTTGTTAAGGGGCATGTCATAGATAAACATAGACAAAACAAAATATGCTCACCTGCGTTCATAGTGGGGTACCGCAGGGTTCAATTTTAGGACCCACTATTGTTCCTAATTTACATAAATGATATAGACACCAATATATACAGAAACTGGTGAAATTTGCAGATGACACCAAGGTGGGTGGTGTAGCAGATACTGAACTAGCGGCTCAGCAGCTACAGCGGGATCTTGATTTAATTAGTGACTGGG